ACAGTATTGAACAGCATTATCAGAGACTATTTATATAGGGCTGAGTAGGGCTGGGTATTGAGACAAATTTCACAATTCGATTCCGATTCACATGCTTGCAATTCGATTCGATTTCGATTACGATTCGATTCAATATAGATTATTTTGGATATCAGTTACAATAAATGGCCATTTTTCTCAAGGGAATCAAATCTCTTAAATGCTGTAAACTATGGGAGTCTAGTTGTAGCCTATAGACTTCATTAGCCTAATATGGTAATAATGAACTGTTTGTATATATTGTATATATTTAGCAAAATGCTCCTCTCTGGAGTTATTTTTTTCTAGCTGACTAACGAGTTTATGTGGGTTTTCTGAGGTAAATATGACGATACATGACATTGATTACAAGCTGTTTAACTGACGTCTTTCCACGGTTGAAACGCTGATTGAGTGAATCAGTGTGACATGATATGGATTTCGATAAGTTGTACTCTATCTTTTAACACACTTTCAGATGCTCATTCATATTTATTTCGCGCTGTAACTGGTATTATTAACCCGGAAGAGAGATCAGCGCTGCTGCTTCTCCAGAGCGATCTCACGCCACAGCGCCAAAAACTATTTATGTTTTTGAATTTCTAAAGAAAATGGACGTAATATGAAAATTGAGACTTTGTTTCATATCAATAGTAACAAAGGACAAAGATTATTGCGATTTGTTTGGATGCGCGCAGCCGCGATACAATGTCCCATTCATTCAAATGAAACAGGATGACTAATCGATTCTTGAGATTTAAGAATCGATATCAGTTCGTAAAAATGAGAATCGATTAATATCGAGAAATCGATATTTATTACCCAGCCCTAATATAGAGACATGCCACTTCCTCAATCCTTAATACAAATGCATAGGGAAAACCCGTAACACCAAAGATGGCGATTGTATGCAAATGCCCCGCCCCTCCCGCTGGACAGCCAATCGTCTGCTTTTAACGGTCAAGTTGGGAAACATTTAAATATGATACTGTTTGAAAAGGCGGCAGATTTGATATGCAGTGTATGTGTGTATTGTGTAAATATCAGACATCCCAAGTCTCCCAGAAGTTCCGGGAGTCTCCCTTGCGAGAGAACCCTTGCGCATACACAGTAAAAGTATAACCTGTGGGGCAAAGTCATCAAACATTTTCAGCAATTTTTATTATATTTTACTGCTGTTTCTATACATGCAGTTTTTATGTCCCGGTGACCAGTAAAAATGCAGTTCTTGACTCTCTGCCCATTCATTTAGATAGAGCCTAGTCTTGTTAAGCCCGAAATAGCTGCCCGGAGGCGTTGCCAAGATGGCAGCCGAGTGGCATGACTTGCCTGAAAGGACTTTGGTATTATTCAACTGTTATACTAATAAGAAGAAAATTAGCATATTAGAATGATTTCTGAAGGACACTGAAGATTGGAGTAATGATGCTGAAAAATTCAGCTTATATGAAATATATTTTATTAAAAATACCAAAACCAAGTCAAATAATGACAGCCTTGGTGAGCATAAAACACTTATTTTAAAAATATTACTCAAACTTACTCTAAATCTAAAACATATATTTACACATATAGCAATATAGTCATACAGTTGAAAGGCTATGGTAATAAGTAGTCCTGCCAAAAATGTTAGTCTACACTAACCCACTTATTCACTGTACATCTAGTCGCACAATGAATTTTTATAACAGTGCTCTCTTTTTGAACTCTTTTTGGACTCACTGCCCTTCCATTAAACTCAGGGAAAGACTTCACCACAAACCACAAACAATATAAAACATCAATTTAATAAAAACAACTGCTTGGGGAAACACCTTATGTCGCTCTCCACACAATTCAATTCAAAAGTCACCTACTGAGAGCAACATTATAATATTTGATCAAAATCTCAATATCTACATAATGATGACTGACATCTTCCAAACGATGCTTTCAACTATCAAACAGAAATCAAATTTTTATTAAATGGAAGCAGCCCACAATGGGCTTTAGATGGGCAATGGGCGTTTAAAAATACACAGGCTCGAGAAGCTTTTGTTGTGTGTGTGTGTGTGTGTGTGTAATGCACTAAGGGTTCCACCACTATCCACACTTCCATCTTCCCTAACTAAACTAGCTCAGGTGTTTATTCAGCCCCAGGGGTCTTTGGAAGAGACTACTGCAATGGTCCAGACAGTCAGGATAATACAAGGCGCAGAAAGTAAAAAGTGCTAATCAATATGATACAATCTTAAAACTATATGCATGTAATTAGAAATAAGAGCACCATTAATTGCTTCCGTTATCATTTTACTCCTTCAGCATGATCGTTAGAGAAGTTGGTATAGACAAAAAAAAAAAAAAAAAAAAAATCTGATAGTGTTCTTTTATTTACATATAGTGAGCATTCAACATTGTTTTAAGCAATACTGGCCATGTTGCAAAAAAGAATGAAAGAATGATATACAAACCCAACACAATTCAATGAAAGCCGACCAGACCAAAGCAAATTTGCGGCAGACACTTCCACATCAAAGACAGTGAATTTTCACATAATTTGGGGGGAAAATGTCTCTGAGAAGGGAACGAAACGCTGCGTCGGAAATCGAAACATTGGGGAAATGCCTTCAGCATGAGCGTCTGAAGTCAACTATTCAATCTTGTTTGGCGTAGCCTAATCCCGTCACTCGTGACGTCGCATGTGACGGCGATGCGGAAGCTATAAAGGACGTCGGATTATCGTAGCGTCAACTTCTGATTGGTCGAAGCAAGGTGTTCTCAGGAGCACCATGACGCCCAAAACTCTTTGAAAGTGTTTGACAGTGATGGCCTGGCCTAACCTAATACTCTTTATTGTGGTTAAAATAGTATTTAAATGAACAGGAGACAATTGTGCCCGCATCGTGACTGAGTCCCACTCTACTCCCAGGAATGTACTCTTCTGAAAAGGAGTTAAGGAACCCTTCTTCACATTGAGTGTCAACCCCAAGCACTTCAGATGATGCAAAACAACATTTCCATGTTGAATCACCAGTTCTCCTGACTGAGCCAGACTGAGCCAGTCAAATATATGAATTAGAATACGGGTCCCCTGAAGTCTCAAATGAGCAAGGGCAGCATCCATGTATTTAGTAAAGGTGCGAGGAGATAAGGCTAGGCCGAAAGGAAGAATCGTATATTGATGACCTTTAACCCACAAAAGCGAATCTCGGAAACTTCCTGTGTTTAGAGATAGAAGGGAACAAGGAGTTAAGGAGCCTGTGGATCTATCACGACAGACCAGTCTACGGAGCTGGTTTGACTGACATACGGTATCCTGAATCTAACCCCCTCGGAAGTTGATCCAGTAACCTGAGATCAGCACCCCCTATAAGCAGGACCGCCTAGGCTGTATTTGAAGACCCCTCGGCGTCTAAATATGCCATTATGGGGAGCAGTCCCTCGAGACTGGCCTCGACTATAAATTTCCAAATGGCTTCGGTGACCTGAAGCAGCTAACTGGCAGGAACTAACCGAAATATGCTCTACAGACCTCCTGAGAGGTGGCAAACTCGACAGGGCCTTCTCCTGGCGGACACTGCGATTTGTGTTCGCTGGAAGCCGATGTTTCCCGAGGTGCCATCGGCGGCAGGAGCAAACATCGATTTCCTAAGAGCTGCATAAGAGTGCGAGACTCCTGTACTCGCCCTCCTGGGGGAACACTCATAAGGATCCGCATTTTACGACAAGACCTCTTGGACTGACAACTAGGGATATCAGATTGCGATTTAACCATAATTGTCTCTCTGACATGACTAGTGCTGCCATAGAAAGACCAATGGCACGGGCCACCTCTTTAATAATACAGAGAGATAAGTCAGCCACTGTACTATAGAACAATGTACTGTAGAACAATACTGTCGAGTGAGACCTCACAGTTATCATCTACCTCTTTGAAGAGGTCAGCCTGGTATGCCTTTAATAAGCCCATCGTGTGTAGGCATGTACTAGCTTGACCCACCACCATATATGCTTTCCCTAACAAATTCGATGTACGAGATTTGGAAGGAAGCGTCTGAGCTATCAGGGGTGACGCAAAATATTTTGCTAAATATTCCTAATATTGCCAAAATATACCCAAGGCATTGCCTCCTAACCATTCTTATTAGATTCCCTAATAGATGTATAAAGACACACCTG